TACTAATTACTATTTAATCCTGTTTTTCTATGAATTTATGAATACTAAATGATTTTAGTCTGCCAAACGAGTTATATTTTTGATGGCTGTTAAATTTTTTAACGTTTTTACACCTTTTTTGGATTGTTTACTAATATTGTATTGACACAAATTATTTTAAATTTTATCTTGTAAATTTTGTATTAAGTTATCGTGACGATGATCAGGAAAAGATTCTCTAAAAAATATTCCATTAAAACTATACGATGCTAAAAGGACTCGCGTATGGGCTCATTATTTTTGATTAGTAAGATAAGTTTTTAATGCAATTGAATAATGCATTTTTGAGATTTCTATTAGCTATAATGTCCAAAAAATAGACGTAAGATATAATTACTTTTGAACTCGGCTTTGAATTTAGATCTCTTCGACAAAATTCCCCTATGAATTTATTGTTCAGTATTTAATTTTTTAGCTTTAAGACTAGTACTATCAGCAAAGTCAAAAAAAATCGTACATATTGTATGTCAGAAATATTTTGGAAATTTTAGTTGTCACTATTTCTATCGATTTGCAGTTCGTTCTAAAGACACGTGATTTAGTTAAAAAAGTGTTAAAAGACTATTAACTTTTCCTACTAATGCCACATAACCTAAAAAGTTTTAAAGTTCTTCTACAAATACTTTTCTATGTAAATATTTGCTGATAGTACATATTTAGTGGATTTAGAATATGTAAGAGCCATAATTAATTCATAAGAACTAACTGTTAATAAATAAACAAATCTAATTACATTGTTTTATCTCTTTCTGTCACCAATGTATCGGAAAGAGACAGTGTAATTTTACTGATGTATTTGATATGATACATTTTATAAAATTGTACTCTGATTCCTAAAAAACTTCCAACTTCACTTTCTGAAACATTTTGTATTTTGCAACTTTCATAGGTGCTTCGGAGATTCGTAATATATAACCCTTTAAACAAATACAAACTTGAATTATATTTAGTCGTCGGTGAAAGAACGTTTTTATCTCTGTGTGTATACAATTAAAAAACATCACGTTGAATATTTTGAAACTAAGCCATGCAATAGCTAAATAAAAAATACGGAGAACTTAAACAATGGCGATCACTTAATTGTGATTGGTCAAACGGAACGTATCGAGTCGCTTGTCTGTGATTGGACGAGAGGTTGACCAATGGCAATCAAACGATCGGCTTTTGTTTTCACTATAATTACATTAGACAGATGACCATCATTAGATAGATTATTATTATTAATTTGTTTGAAGCGTTTTTATTGCTTGGTATGTGTATGAACATTTGTTCCTAATAAAAGTTGCAAAATATTCCATACAATGTCTTTCCAACAACCAGGTGATATCTTTTTAGAACAGCTATTTTTTGATAATCTGACTTTCCAACGAACAATTAATGGTAAATTTTAATCTTTAATGTTTCATGTATTTCTAATTAAGTTTTAACGTACTGTAGTTACATGTTGAAATGTGGGTTTTGGACATTATTTATGGGGCAGACTATATTTAAAGTAGATAAGAAAATGTTGCAGCAACTCTAGTTGTATCGCGCAGAACTTTCATATACATTTTCTTTGCAGTCCGTGTCTTAAATTTGTACTAATAGAAGAGCATATCTTGCGCTTTTTTTTTAGAATTTCCGCTTCAAATAATGTCTAAACTCACATCAGTACACTGAAGTTACCGAAGATGTGGCAATCGACTGATATTATTGCATAGTTTTAATAATATTATTTTACATCCCTTACTTATAAAACAAAAGCAATTTCTATTTGAACCAGTAGAAATCATCACGACATTTTTGGTGTAGCTAATGGTGCATGGCTGTATTGTTTAATATAAGTGTAGTGCGTTTTCCAATACATTTTAATTGTAATCTAATCTTGAATTTTGTCCAAAAATTGTATGAGAAAGACTTACTATTAGCTCTTGAAGTTAGATTGAAGTTTCTAAGGTATATAGAGTACATGTTTTTAAACCTTTGTCCATAACATAGATACGATTTTAAAAGTCCAGCAACGCACTGGCACTGAAAGGGTCCATGAGCGGCGGTATTACTAAATAAACATCAGGTGAGCGTCTTGCCCATTTGCCACTTGTTCTATAATAAAAAGTAAACTATTAATTTTAGTTGAATCAATTTTATTTCGACTGTTAAAGTTTTCTTGCTGTCTTTGAGCTGTCAAAGGATTTTACGACAGTTTTGACACTCAATGTATTAGACCCAAAAGACCCCTCTTTAATTTCAGCCTAGTGAGCCGTTTAGCCTCTTAACTTTGAGAAATGTTTATAAGTAAGGGAATTGTTACGATTTCTCAGTAGTTATAGTGTTTTAATGTAATTTAATATAACCAAATATTTCTTCGGCTATTTTTGTAAGGAATAAGATTAATCGATGTCGTCGCTCACATTTGCCAAGTCCCGGTTGTGTTAACGGCTTTTGTACCGGGACAGATATTCGTTTATGGCTATTAATGTTGCCAGTATGCTTGTAAATTATAAGTCAATAATTGAAATTAATTTTTAATTATGTAGGCTTTTAGTTTTATGATTTCTCTCAATAAAGTTTCCAATAAAAAACAAAAAGTATAGCACAGTCATGGGAGTAATCTTGCTTTTAAGAATAAGTAATTATCAGAAATGTATTATTATCATTTAAGCTTTTTTGCTCTGGCAACATATGTGAAAAAAAATCAGTACAAAGTGTTAGAGGTTAGAATGTGTAGTGGATTTCAATTATATACCATTTCCAAATTGTATGCATTTGAGCGAAATAAATATTTAGACGATTATGTTGTTTTTTATTTCTTTGAAATTCGCAAATTTCGATGGTTTTGAAAACAACTTCCGGATTAAGAGATTTACTTTTAAGTCATTCATAACATGAGCAACAAGAACACATCACATGTGAATCGGCCTTAAAAGGTTAAAGGTTGTTGGACTCAGTTTCCGCCCTTAGACTCTCATTAGGTCCGTTGTGCGTACGAGTCCTGGCTAATTTAGCCAGCCTAGCTCCTTCCAGAAGCACAGAAGTCTCCTGGGCACTTCACGGAGCGACCTCACTGCTCCGAAGATTTCTTTACGTTGCCTAACCACAGCCACGTATACAGGACTACGTGGGTGTCTGATTCCTCTGCGCTGAAACAGCCTCTAACAAGAACACTAAATAATATTTAGTATATACATATTACAGTGTATAAAACACTAGTCATAAAAAGTATAACAGTAGGTGAGAAACGCAATGCTTATTTAAGTATGAAATGTAAGTAAAATTAGATTTGGACGTGATGGGGTTTTAAAATGTTTATGTTACGCAACCAATCTTAATTAATTTACACTTATTTAAGTTCTAGAAACTTAAATTCTTTTTTTTTATTTATAATATGGGGCAAACAAGCCTGCAGAACGCCCAAAAAGGGCAGACATCGCAGCCATTTTTAGTGGGTGCGTTGCCGGCCTACGAGGGAGGAGAGTGAGTATTCTGTGTTGAATTTAATAATATATAGACGAGAAATTGACAATATAAATCTAATATAACAATAATTACATTTTATTACTTATACGTATATTATTGAAGTCTTAAATAGTAGGATTATATGGCGTCTAGTGTTGAATTAACATATGGGCATTTTTTTTACAGATTATTATTATTAAGCCCCTATTGCTGACACCCAGTATAATACAAAGATTTGTTTTAGTTACATAACCTAACATAATCTAATACATCAGACGTGCTAGTTTTGGTGATCAGCGTATCCGTATTCCAGCTGCTTCCATTATTTTCTAATGTTAGCTTTTCTTGTCCAAGTTGTGCCTACTATTCTCTTAATATCGTCTGCCCATCTCTTGCTCAGCCTTCCTCTTTTCCTTTTTCCATCTCGTGGTTGCCATTCTGTAAGTTCTCATCGCCAGGACGTCTACATCCTATTATTCCATTTTTTACAGATACTTATATCCTAATGATAGCGTAGATATACTTTTAAGTTTATCACCTTTATAAATGTTTCTTTACGCTCTCGTGTCATTTTCTAAATAAATATGATAAAATATAACTTACTTAACTAAAGTTTTTTATACGATTATAAATTATTGAATTTGTAAGTTGTGTTGAAACTTTAAACTTTATAAAACGATTGTATAAATTGGGCCTACTCGGGCCGTCGGCCGATGTCAGGTCATGTCTCTTTATCGACAGAATAAAGAAATAATAATAGCTCTTCGGTTTAATTAGTAGTCAGCATAATACCTTCATCGATACGAGGATTTAATCTTCAGATATATTCGGAGATATCAGAACTTCAGTTCAGCTAACTCTATTGATAATTATGAAATATATTTGATTTATGTGTTGTTAATACATTATCGAAAATATGTAAACGTCTGTAGAAATATTTTTGTCGTTTATATTTTTTAATGATTCATGTTTATCGTCGTATTTGAGTGAGCGAGTCGACTTCGTGGTCTAGTAATGCATATAGAGATTCTGAGTTCCATTCCTAGAGAAAAACAATTGTTTTTGTTAGGTACAGAAGGCAGATTGGCCCATTAAATAAAAAATTAAGTTAATAATTAAGGTAATTCTTAAAAAGGTGTATTTAAAAAACACTTTGAATCGTCGTGTTCCTCACCTCGTATGTACTCTAAAATTCATAATAGCCACGCCCCTGTGTTGCTCTTAATGGATACATGTGTTTGACAAAATTTGACATCTTAATGTTAGGGGAGAGGTATATCTATGCAACGCGAGCCTTTCAATATTAACTAGTACACTATATGGTCTTGAAAATAACAGAGGCTAAAAATAAATTTGAACTAACCTAAATATACCTATAAAGTTAGCATTTTTGTTCTTTTATCACTAAAGAGGTTTACACATTTTCTTCTAATAAAAACAAATCACCTATCAAAATTGACAGTTGTTGTTATTATATTGATTGTATTGAGTAAAATATTTGCCGAATTTTATTGAAATATAGTAAAATGGCGGTCGCTTTGCCCATGGAATCGAATCCTGAAGTTATGAACAAATATCTTTATAAGCTCGGCGTGTCAGATAAATGGAAAATGGTTGATGTTCTGGGATTAGAGAATGATGCATTGCAATGGGTCCCTCGCCCTGTGCTAGCCGTGTTACTCCTGTTTCCATTATCAGAGAACTATGAAGAACATCGATCTCGCCAAGAAACTGAAATGCTTAGCAAGGGTCATGAAGCTCCCAAAGATGTTTTCCATTTGAAGCAAGTCCTCAGTAATGTTTGTGGTACTATCGCGTTGGTACACAGCATTGCTAACAATGTGCAAACTATTGATATTGAAGAAGGGCCCTTGAAGAAATATTTGAGTGACGCTGAAGGACTAGATGCGGCCGCCAAAGGAGCTTTGCTGGAGAATTCTGCCGCTCTGCTTGATGCTTATAAAGACCTGGTAACTGGCGGTAACGATGATTATGAAGATGGTGAGCCGAGCCACCATTTTGTGACATTCATACAAAAAGATGGAAAGCTGTTTGAATTAGACGGCAGGAAGGCATTGCCTATTGAACACGGAACAACTACATCGGAGACATTCTTGGAAGACGCGGCCAAAATCTGCCGCGAATTTATTGCTCGTGAACCTGAAAACATAGGGTTTAATGTCGTTGCTTTAGTTTCTACTAATTAAATATTTTTTATTTTGGGTCTAATTAATAAAGATTTGAAATAATTATTTTTCTATAAATATTCTTAGGGTTAAAAATAGGGTTCGCAGTAATCGGAACTTCCAGCTTCAAACATAATCGCAAAAATCACTTCTCTACATAAGTAAAAGATATAAATTAATTGCACCTTCGACAACCTTCCTTGGTGACTTGACATCTCAATTAAGGAATCGGCAAGCATTGAACACAGTTGCTGCATTCCTCCATGAAATACCGCATCTTCGGAAACTAATTAAAAATTCGCCTCGCCTCCCATGGCCGATGTTCCATCGGGAAGATATAACTTCATTTAAAAACGAGCAATCTTGTCCAAGATAAACCTGGCGAGAAAACAACGAAAGCCCCACGCGTCTGCGCCTGCGACGCTTACAAAACGTAAAAAACTACTTTTAAATGGAACGCGAGAGAATTCACCACGTAACTATGCCGATACTGGGAAGGACGCGACATCGGTAAGTCACGTCACCGAATAAATGACGTCGGCCCTAAAATATATACGTAAATATTGTATTTGTACAAATAAAATAATAAGAGAGACCCGAAATGCTTTAAATATTCAAATGAAGCGAGCCGAGGTGAAATACGGAGGTGCGCTGGATCGAGTTGAGCCCAATTAAATCGGTGCCACTGAGGTAGAAATTAAAAACAAAAGGAGAATGACAGCGGCCCAGCGCATTTTTCTCATGAGTATTATTAGCGCGATGTCAACGGACAAAAAATAGTTTTAGAGGCTCGTGATCGTTATCAATAACAACCCCCGATTTGTATTGTTTTGATAAGTGATGCTTGTGCGACGAGAACGGGACGGTTTGATGACATTTTACATTCGCCCTACACAAATGATCGATGCATGCATCATATTGGTATTTCCCAATCAAAATTCCTTATAACTTATAACTTTTTATTACGTGAAGTTTATTACAGTACTTATATCTCTATTGAGTGTAAATAAGGTGCTACATGTTATTAAATCCTAAATAATAAAAAAAAAAATATTTGCAAGATATCGTACAAAAATGTTATGGTACAATCTAAAGTCTATTCTGCCACATATAATGGCGTGCAAATTTGTCTTAAAACGAATTTTATATAGAAGTTACATACATTATGAGTCTATGTCAATATATATCAACATTATAGTCAATTCTTATATTATTTATAGTGAAAAAATATCACATTATTAAAATTTATTATTACGTTATCTAATTAATATTAATTATAATGTTTCACTCAAATAATCATTGATAGAATAATAAATTTGACCAAAAGTAGTAGTTTATGTCGGTTTTAAAAAAATTCTAGTATGAAGATCTTTTATATGTCACTATTAGTATAAATACTTTACAGCCTATTCTTAGATATAAACAAAATTAATATGTTATATATTATTTTATAAAAATACCCGTGTTGGTAACCAAATTGTTTTGTCTAAGAATAGGCCGTAAACTATTTAATAGTGACATATAATTTGAGATTTAGTAGGTATTAAATAACATGTAGCACTTAATTTCCACTATTCTGGCACCCATTTAACAGCTATAATATATAAATACATATATAATTTTTGATTACAAAGTCTATTCAACCTATTAATAAGAATTCGTTAACACTTGGTACAGCCTTCAAACTATCGATTTATTTAAACAAAATACATTTATTTTAAACAATGAGGTTCTTATTGAAAGCCTTACCAAGTATCAATATAGATTTTGAGTAAGCTATCCATTGCTTCATAAAACCATATATAATCAAAAGCGGGCCACAGAAAAAGGTAATGTATGCGTCGCAGGGTTAATTTTGATGAAATAAAACGCATGAATAATGGTTAGTTGTGCGAGGTTCGCGCCAGGGGTCCCGCCGGGGCCTACTGCCGCTCATCACTATTCAATAAGTTTCATTTATTGAAATTACATAATTTGTGTGTGAATAATGACGATTGTGATGGATCTTCGTGGGCGATGCGAGCGACTTAAACCCGATTAACTTTTGACCGCAATATCGTATTAATAAGCTGTCTATTCAACACTGGCTTGCACTCGTACTTGATGTATTATTCCACTTTGTTCTAGATATTGTGGCTCTTAGCAATAACATATCAAAATTACACTCAGATTGCCTGAACTGCTTCAGAATTACGCACACTTATATTCACCGGAATTTCTGAGTGCTTGGTATGGCGATATAAAAAAACTTAATACTGTATAAAATATCAATCATTTTTGATGCGAAAAATGTAATCTCAAAAATACTGCTTTAAGTTTTATATACCAATTTCTCGATACTAAGTTCTCCAATTAACCAACGTAATTAACAAGATTGTTGTATAATTATTTTTCTCTTGAATTTCGTTCGGTAATATTGTACCAGTGTTGGCCTAGTGGCTTCAGCGTGCGACTCTCATTTCTGAGGTCGTTGGTCCGATCCCCGGCTGTGCACCAATGGAGTTTTATTCTATGTGCGCGTTTAACATTCCGCCTCGAACGGTGAAGGAAAACATAGGAACCGGCTGCCTTAGACCCTAAAAAGTCAAGACACAGAGGGATGATCACCTACTTTCCTATTAGATTACCAAATGATCATAAAACAGATACATAAATCTGAGGCCCAGACCTAAGCCATTAAAAAATACCAGGTCTGACATAGCTAGACATAAACTTCACGACTAAAGAGGTTATTACATAGTTTCAAGTGGAATAAAATGATATAATGACATGGAAATGGAGTGGAGTTTAAAGCACGTCCGTGGTTACAATTATTCATGTCATCACGCACTTGAGTTATTTATATTTTTCATTCTTGTACATAAATCCGCAGATTATACTTGCACGAACAGTGACTAGGAATTAAGGCTGTATTTAAAAGGCTTTTAACATTTACTGTACACAATACGAGTTGTTCTTCAATCAAGGGACCGAATTTATCAAGTATTTGTTTAAAAAATGATGTCCCGTTTTTCTTAAATTTAAGTGGTCTCTATTTGACCTCCAACTTGTGTTCAAGTTTATTGAAACTTATATTGACTTATATCAGCTGTAACTTCATTTGATTTATTTGACATCCTTCAACATAGCATTTTTTTATTCTGTGTCACAGATTATATTTATTATTTATTTATTTATTAACACTTCGTTGCATTACAATATAAAAATTGATCATAATTAATTGAAAAGGAGGGCAACTGGCGGCCTTATCCCTTTCGAGCGATCTCTTCCAGGCAACCACAGCGAGAATTTTTTTTTATTAAATTAGATAAGGTAGGCAAGAAGTACAAAAACACATATAATATATAGTTATTAAGAAAAAACTAAATAGAAATAAAAACAAACTAAAATAAAAAAGGATACATGAAAAATAAAAAGTGCACATGAATCACGATAATTCAAGATCAGTCTCACGTCAGTTAGTAGTTAGTACGAAAGTTATTACACTTCTTGAGTTAAGTTTTTGATTCAATCGGGATTCAATTGAAAATCGCACCTCATTAAAAATTGAAAATATTACCACCTGGAATTAAAAAATATTTTCATTATATACAATTTCTATTACGATTCAAATTCTCAGTAAACAAAGACAGATGTTTAGGAACAATATATAAAGCCTACATCGTGTTTGGTTACAAAATGATTTGTGTTTGTAGATGCAAAAACATCCCACAGTGAGGTACATAGTTTACTGTTTATGAATAATACATAATGTAACATTGCACTTCATTTTATCTGTAAACTCATACAAGGAATGCTATTCTGATGCTGTTTTAAAGCAGTAAGAGTATCAGATTATTCTGTTTATACCAAATCGGTATATAATACAAAAATATTATACACGTTTTGAGTTTATTTATTGACTTTAATAAGTATTGATAAAAATTGATTAAATAACTATTTTTGGAATGCTAAATTCAAGTACTGCATCTTCTACCGCATTTACCATGGACAGTGTTCGGAGGAGTTCTTCGTATTAATACCTGCAGCTGAGTATCATCATCATACATTGGGAAAGAATACGAAATTCCACCCGTATCACCTCAACATCCGTCCTTCCACAACTGAGCATGTTCAGATGTGAAACCAGCTGCCCACTGAAGCATTTCCGAACCAAATCGACTTAGGGTCCTTCAAAAAAAGAGCGTACTAATTCTTAAAATACCGGCAATGCACTGGCGAGCCCTCTGGGATCGAGATTGTCCATGGGCGGCATTAAACATCAGATGAGCCTCCTGTTTTATTTAAAAAAAAGAAGTTTTTATGTACAGGCACGCGAATTTATATTTATTTTTATATTATTTTGACAACACGATGATTCAAATGCATCACCTGCTACTCGAGTGAATCCAAAGTAATATTCTGAGCTGATTAAATAATTCATTAAATGCAATTTTTTTATAAACGCGAACAACTACGAATAGTCTGAGTTATTTTAGTAAAAAATTTTTTAAGTTCTATTATTTTTTAAAGAGATAATTTGAATGTAAGTATTATCACATTATAACCATTGCCCATGATATCAAATGGTCAACAGATAAACAAATGAACAACCTTTATTACCAAAATGTTAATTGTTTGATTGGCATTGACCTTAGTTTCCCTTCCAAGCTTATGAATCTTTAAAACAACGTTAAACACTCATAACACTAAAGTAAAGCACATTGAGTAGGCGTGTATATAGAAAGTGGTTATGTATAGCGACCACTTTACGATTTCCAAGAACGCTCAAAGGTAAGCCACGAAGCCAATGGGAACGGTAAATTGTCTAAATTAAATTAGGCAGAGCCTCGTGACACCGGCGGGCGCACTGATGTTGTCTCGACGAATCGTAAAACAAATGAGATGAACATTCTTTTGCGTTTGTATACTAAAACTTGAATGTTATTATATCGTGTCCACTATTAAGTGTGTGTATTTAAAAAAGATTGTTTTATTTAGTAATGTTAAGTTTTTAATGATTCTGGAAACTTGTTAAGTTA